CCTGGGCAACTCGGGCGGCAATGATGATCCCATTTCTTCCGGCAATGTGGGTTTGTCCAATAACTACAGCAGCGGTGGCAGTGGAGGAGGCAATAACTACAGCTCCGGCGGCAACAATAACTACAGTGGCGGCGGAGTGTCCGGCGGCAACGTTGGATATAATGCCTACAGCAGCTCTGTGGGTGTTGGGGGTGGCAATGGAGGAGGCGGCCTGGGCAACCAGCAGGACGGCAACGACTACAATACTGGCAACAATCTAGACATTTTCGGGGGCGGTAGCAATGTGGGAAATGCCAATTCTGGCGCAGGCAACGCCGGTGCTGGCTCTCGCAAATCGGACACGATCATCATCAAGAATGTGCCCATGAGCTGTACCTGGCAGACGCTGCGCGACAAGTTCCGTGAGATTGGAGATGTCAAGTTTGCCGAGATCCGCGGCAATGATGTGGGTGTGGTGCGATTCTTCAAAGAGCGCGATGCCGAGCTGGCCATAGGTAAGTCTCCTCTCACTCACAAGGATTATCGATCGAAATCGGCAAATGAACTAATTGTGGATTCTTGCAGCGCTCATGGACGGCTCTCGTCTGGATGGTCGCAACATTAAAGTAACATACTTTTAAGTTAGCCTTTTAAGTTTAAATCGTATTTACTCTGTAGTGGTTAAGCGAAAATAACTCGACAATGAACCCATCCGACGGCCACCGCATTGTTTGATGACCAATGAACGGATTTTCTTTTATTCCACAAGCAATACAGCCATACAGCCACGAAACGAAACGGAACGGCATAGACCACTGGATCTGGGAGGAGATCTGAGATGTATCTGAGGCACAGACACAGCAGACAGAAAAGTTTATCCCATACATTTTTTTACTCGTATAACTTTTATATATATATAAATTCACATTATTATGTACTCTAATATTAAAATAACTGACGTTCCAAAACCACAAACCACAAATCCGAGGACGCAATTCTATTGTTATGTCTAAGCGATTTAATTACAGCCAATAAAACAATGCAAAGTCCCATTGTTAAACATTGCTCACAATTTACGTTAGCTATTTGTGGAGTACAAAATGTTAGTTGAAATGTTTTATTTAAACTCGAGGATAAATAATTTGTATGCACAAGTACCATCACCTTAATCAACATCACAATAATCATGCGCACATATGTATGTATGCATGTCCCTCCGTCTTTAAGGACTAAAATCAATAGAACAGGAATTTAAATCAAAGATTCTTGTGACACCTTCCGTCTGCAATTCGAGAATATGTTTAGGACTAACGATCCCGTGTCTACCAACTGCTCGTGAATCAAAGAATACATTTCCAGACATGGCTCGGTCTCTCTCAATGAACCTTTAAGGGAAGTTTACTCGTTTACATGCCACTGCCAACCCCGAAATCGACAAAGTCCTTCTACCCTACCGTTTATAGATACTCAGAAACAGGAGGTGATTTGCTCAACGACTATGGCATTCTTGATCATGGCCTCTGCATACGTCTTAAACTCTGATGGTCAAATAAATGTGGTAACAACAAGAATTTTAAGCATGCGAAAGAGGTACAATGTTGTGGAATAGTAATGTTGAAATGTTTTTCTTTTATTTATAATGGTTGCTTAATGTCTACAAGCATGGGTGAAGTAAACGTTGAAACTATAGAACTGTCTATGGGGGCCATGTCCATGAGGATTGCGGCGCTTGGTTGTGCAATGGGAAAGGTGGACGACGTTCGTGCATTTACATCGGATATCCCTACTTCGTGGCAGCGGCTGCCGGCGCAGTCTTAAACCGTTCCAAGCGTGCGCGGGCCTTCTCAGAGTAAATGGCTTTCGACTCTGGCGTAGCTGGAGCGGTAGCTGGTGTCGAAGAAGCTTCTGCTGCTACGCCAAAGCGCTCCTTCCGCTTTAGCAGACGTTCATCGGTCAGAGTTTTTGTGGTCTTCTCGGGAACCACACAGCCAAAGCGTTCGGCACGACGCTTAAGGGCTTCCTTTTGCTTTTCATCCGTCTCCTTGTTCCCTTTATTAGCCACAATGGATGCGCTCGAGGACTTGTTAATTGCAGTAGCAATAGACGCTGTTGCAAGGGTGGGGGTGATGCCGAATTTCTTGGCCCTCAGGTTCAAACGTTCTTCTGCAGTTAGTTCGGTTAGTTTCTTGTCAGCGGACTTTTCGCCTTCCTTGCTTCCTCCAATTACAATAGGTATGCGTTTGGTTTTGGCTGGTGTGTCCTCTTGCGTATCCTTACTAGCTGTCGGAGCCCCGTTCTCTTTCGATGCAATGGTGGACGTCGCTGTACTGCCTCCCGTTGTCGAGGTCAGCTGAGAGTTATTTCTTTTCAGCACAATTTTCTTGGCAGGCAAGGCTGCAGCTGCACTCGTTCCGTCTTTGATGTCGCTGTGCTCATCCAACAGCAAATCGGGAACTATTGCAGCTATGGGCGTGCTCACCGGGCTCTTGAGTAGTTCATCGTCATCGTGCTCGCCCAGCAATTTGTCTTCATCTTCGTCGGCCAGGGAAACATCATCATCGTCTATGGCGTCTGCTATGGCGCTGTCGTCAAGCGATATATCACCCTCCAGAAGGGCCGCCTGCAAGCGGTCCTGCAATTCATTTTTGTTTCCATTCACTGCCAGCCCACGCAGCTTTAGCTCGCGCTTTAAATCAGCCACCTTTGGGACGCAAGTAAATAGTTTAATTTTGCATTCTTGAGTTGATTAACTTACCTTCATTTTGGTAACGTCACTTTCCGGCATTTTTTCCTGGTTTTTTGTTTTGTTTTAATTTTTTACAAGAATGTGCTATTGACAAATAGTATACAGCAGTGTGGCCGTGAAGTATCAAGAAAATATACCGCACGGCTAATACCAAAATATATTTTCTGAGTTTCAAAACATAGGGTTTCAACATAAGAGAATTGCATAACCAATCGTGCTGTTAGGGCCAACAATTTTCCGACTACTAATTCGAGACCAGCATCTAATTCCGGATCGTTTGATTGCAAAATCTCAACTTTGTCGTAAAGAAGTAGATAAAGTCGGTTTTTTAGACTGACGCTTCCACTCGCCAGTGGATGTAGTTCATATGTAGCAAATGTGTAGTTCCCGTGTAGTTACACCGTAATAACAAATACCTTTTTTCACCAAAGCATATTACTCGATTTTGATGTTCGGTTTTATAAAACTGACTAGCTAAGACCCTTAACACTAAACATATACTTTTATGCCTTTGATTAATCAATTTTCTAGAGGATTAGTTACTTTTAATAACTTATTTTCATTGAATTGCTTATAAAAAAAGACCAACTCTGAATACGAGCAGTAAGTGTGTGGCTAATTGTTTGGTTAAGTGGTTTCAGCTTTGGGTATGGACCCTTTACAGCCTATTACATTTCGTGCTTGATGTTTTAAATAATGCTTCGAAGACTAATTTATGTTGACTTTTCTCAGATTGATATAAGTATTCATTTCGAATAGTTTCATGCACACATAAACATGCGATTGTATGCAGATATGCATGTATGCATTTTTTCATGTATGCCATAGCAGTCAGTTTAAATAGTGCCATAGCAGCCAGCTGTACTAGTTGCATAGTTTAGACACCAGTTTGATAATAAATAAACAAAAGTATCAACAATGTTCTTAGATGCTCGCATCAGCCACCCAGAACTGAAAGGCTTTATTTTAAAACATTCGTATAAGTTTGGATTGTGGATTGTTATTGGATCTCATAATATTTGTTTTTGTCACTTCAGCCTCGGTCGCCCTCACCCTCATGAATTCGCCGATGCGGACGCAGACGGACCCCGTAGATAAGATATAATATACGAGCGCCGTTCAGAAATAGCACCCGTGCACCCTACACCCCACCCATGGCATACCCCGACCGGAAACGGGAAATGGAAACGCAATGCAATATTATCTTTTGTCGCCTGATTCTGCCGCTATTCTTAATCCCTGTCCCTTCAGCGAATCGGATTCGTTGTGTCTGGCGCTGCAGACTCTGCCTCATGGCCTTGAAGAGCAGTGCAGTTTTCTCGATTTCTCGATTTCTCGATTATGTTGAATTGTTCTCCAAGGGCTGCCTGCCAGTGGCTGCCTGCACCTGCTGTCTCCCCTAGTAACACCGGTCTCTTGCTCTCTCCATCCCCACTCTCACTGTGTTTCTTCATTGCGAGTGCACACATGGTGCTCAGATGCTGGCGTAAGTACATAAGTTCGAGTGGCTGTCCCTAATTGGCACTGCTGCACATTCCATGTTTATTAATAATTTTCCAGAACTTCTCTTTGCTCTGACCGCCAGGCTTGGAGGTCGCAGCCTTTGTCACTTAACCCTGTGTCGCCTCTAAAGAGTGGCACGGTCAGTGCATTGGTAGTTTTAATTAATGTAATGCTCCCCGTCACCGTGTTTCCTAATTGAACTCATTTGCCGCTGTTCCACATAATAAACGCCACTATTTTGGACAAGCCAAGCCAAGTATGGGGTTCTTTGCTTTAATTACAGCTACAACCACCCGCACCACCCCGTCGGCACACACGCACTGGCCGAAAAATGTCGTTGATTAATGGCTTATGACAGATATTTGAGTTTGGGCCTGGACAGAGTATTACGCAAGCGGATTTGGAATGTAAATATGCATTACTCGTATGAAAAAAGCAGTTGAACCCCCGTATTATGCTTTGCAAATTCCAGTTTTAATCTCCTTTGCTTACTGCCGATCCTTATTGAGGCTAAACAGCATTATTGCAAATTAACTCAACTCCGTTCTGGGTGTAAACAATGACTAATTGATAAGTGTAATCGGATGATAAACTCTTTTTGCGAGTACCACTTTTCTCTCAGCACTTCTTGGAGGAACGACTCTTATCGCATTCTGTTGCTCGCTCCCGCTCCGGCCAGCTGATAAAAACTCAAAAGCCCCGAGAGAGAGCCGTGCCAGTGTAGCAACTGGTTCTCTACTCGTGGCGTCGTATCCGTCAGATACAAAAACTGCTGCTCAGATGCCTAACGACTGCACTAGTGATCGGTTGTGTTGTGGTTTTTGGTTTTTCGCTGTACATTTGTTGTTTCGCCCTCGTTCGCGCCGCTGTTTTTACGCCTAATCTGCACCTCCTCCGCCCGTTGACTGCGATCAGTGCGGACGTCATCGCCAGACGTGTCGCTCGATTGATTATTGCAAAAAGAAAAGCTTCGAGTACGTTGTATCTATAAGTACGTGTCTGTGAAAAGTTATACGCATGTGAAATCAAGTTCACTTCATGATGCAGCTTGTCCAAAAAACAAAGTTTACATCATACGATATTATGTACATATTGTGCATAATGTATATTCGAAATTAACAGCCTTCGACCTTGCGTGCTTGTGTGTGCTGTTCTGTGCTGTGCTCTCTACTTTTTTGTGGCTATAATAACCACAATTGGATTTTGTGTAAACATTGTTAGCATGGATCAGTGGAATCTAATTAGTGGATGTTTTTACGTGGAAAGCAGCTTAGGAAGACAAACTCCTCCAAAATACACTGCCAGCGCCCGCGAGGGCTTCGTGATCGTTTCTTTATCACCTGAGTCACTTTGTATGGCGATCACGTCACAGCCAGCCCCCCCACATCCCCGTCTCTGTCTGGCCTGGAGCATTCCAGAGCCATGTAGCTCTCTGCTGCTGCTGCCTCTCTCTCTCTCTCTCTCTCTCATCTCCGCTCTCCACGGCCTGTGTGCTCTGTTTGGCTTTTATGGGTCCGTTACCATTTTTAGTTAACAAACAAATATATGGTTACACAGCCATTTAAAGGCCATCGCAGGAAACAAAATACGTGCCTCCACACCCCCTACAGCTAAAGGCTCAACACAACACCCACCCAACGCCCATCCACAGGCCCCGCAGACACATCAAATCAGTAATCAATTTATTCCGACCTATGGCACAATAAATACTTCGTATTAACCTCAATTAATTTAGCTAATTGAGAGCGCGTGCCCTCGCAATCTGCCATTTGATTCTGTTCGCGTCGTCTATGGTGCTCGCTTTTGACCAGGTAACGGGTGCCAACGGTGCTAACGGTAACCATAGCCGTATTGCTAGTTATCGCCGTTGCTCTTTCAAGTCCCATTCCCCATACATACATGTGCACATCATATGGATTGTATATAGTATATGAACATCTAGTATCTTATCTAATCAGTTTATTAAATACGCAAACCCAAGCGAGAAACCATAAAAGAACCCACCCACACGCATACAGGCAGGCACACACACACACAATTCTTCATTTATTTTTGCGAACACAGAGGAAGAGCCACAAATTGTATGCACATGTAGAGGTAGAGGTAGAGGTAGAGATTGGCTGGATAGCTTTTAGAGCACCAATAAAATCTAGTTTGGAAATTAAGATTATGTTTCGCTTAGTAAGAGCACTTCAGGCTTTCTCCTGGATTGCATTGGCTTCTGGCTGGTAATGGTTCTAAACAGAAAAGCTCTTCAAAATGATGACTGCTTTTGTTCTTCATTCAACCAAGATAGATAAGCTAAAATTAGGAAAAGCTTGAGTGAGTAATCCCGGTTCAGTGCAGTAAAATAACTCAACAATTCATAATCCAAAGAGGAATGGAATGTGGACTTGTGTGTAATATATTGACTAAGCGACAAACCAGCAGCTGGAAATGTGTTTATTTATGGATGATTTTATACACACATAAGTATATGGGAAAGTGTAACGAAAGTCTAGCAGCTGAATGATGCACTGCGCCCATTTATGTACTTCATACTCATATGGCGCTGATAAGTCGCAGTCCACAAAGGACTGAAGTGAACCGAGCTGAACTTGCACATGAGTCCGTTCTATAGTGGACATTAAGTGTCGTTTAAGTCAAATAAAAGCTTCAAGATCTTGTGCAATGTCAGTGGGCAGAGCAAGACTGCAGCCGGAGTGTGAAATGTGGCAAGTGTTCCCAGAACACTCCATGAACAACAAATACGTAACTTGATATGTAAAGTTTACAAGAGGCCAACCCCGGCTGCAACAACAAGCCAGAACAGAACAGAACAGAACAGATAACAAAGCGATGAAGAATATAATGTACGAGTATGTATGTGCTATACAAGTGACATCCACTTCATAATGTATACAAGTGTATTACAAAAAGAGCTCAATTATGTTTAAATAATTTATTATGAGTATTAATTACAATGCAAGTTGCTCTGGTGAAACGACGAAAGCAGAGCCTCTGCCTCTCAGCTTGATAAACAGTTTCCGTTTATTTTCGGCTCCATACTAAGTATGGGAAATATTGTGCTCGACTTTGTATTATTGAATCATTTTCACTTTCCCTTGGTTTAACTCGCACCTGTTTCCAAAAAAACATTGGAAATGTTCCACTCATTCAGAAGTTTTCTTCCAGGTGTATTGCTTAATCAGCTGGTTGTATAAATAGCAAACAAAAAAAGTATCTACGAGTGTGTGTGGACTTAATTATTTGCACTCTCTTGTAGTCACTAAAACAGCTTCCCAATGCTGTGCTGTTTGTTTATAATAATTTAAAACGCGTCCAAAACACACAAAGACCAAAACCAATGGCCAGTTTGCTGTTTATTTAGTTTCGCTCCTGCTCTCAGCCACAAGTTTGGTTTTGTTATTTTTGTTATTTTCGGTGTTGCTGCTACCTAATGGCCAATTGTTCAGTCGCAGTTTGTTTAGAATTTGCTTCTATTTGTGGATCTCTGTTGCCATTTTTCAGGCACGAACTCATCCGATTTACGCTTGGTAACGTCATTCAATCAAAGCTAAGAACTATGTGCATGTTTCATCAAATCCAAAATATATCTAAGACTGATCTTTGCAACAAATGAAGACCCTCCTCTCCATCAATGATTAGACTCAATTGTGTGGACCCCGAGCATCAAAGTGCTCCCAGTCAAAGTTCAGACTGTGTAGATCGCGTGCCAATAAAGCACTTTATTTTTCTGAGCTAGAGTGTACATCCCATTTAACCCCAAGTTTGTGATGGGTTCACAAAATGGGTTCATATAAAAAAATGTGTAACTTAGTTGGCCTATCTTTTGCCTGGCACTAATCAGGTGCACTCCCTTTTTACTTTCACCCTATATTATGAGGTTTGTGTATTTTAGCTGCCTCTTCTCCAAGTTATTGGTTCGAATGGACGAAAGTTCAAATGAAATCATTCGGGTCGAACGGTAATATGTTGATGAATGTCACAACTCAACCGGTTCTGTTGTTTTCCTTTCGATGTATCAGCTGGGCTGCAGCAGACCTGCTGCTTTTTTCATGTGTGGGCTGGCTGGGCATCCAACCTTTTCGTGGGATGATGAGTCACTGCAATCTGAGGAACGGCCCGTGTGGTCTAGGCCTTCTATTAGAAGCTCCACATTGAATGTGTGTAATTAAACGCGGTTTGCATTGTCCGAGATGCCATCGAGTGTCACTGAGACATGAGTCATATGCCCACAAGATAAATAATTCCCGGAATTGCGATGAGTTTTCTGCGTACCAAAGAGTTCAAGATTCCCCAAGCCCAGCCCCTGGCAGCCTGTAAATTGGCTGGGCCAAAAGTCTTTTGATTTCGGTTTTATTTTAGACACTGAATATCTGTCTGTGTTTTGTTTTGGAAGCTGGTAGGGAAATCTAGTTTATGTTTTGGGTCAACTGGAAACGGAAAAAACCAGTTTTAATTAAAAAGAAAAATGTATGAAACGAATGTTGGAGGGGTTTGCTTGTTGCTGGTTTTTGTGTGGCTGGACAGATGGTGAAAGTCTATTAGTATTAGCTGAGCTTTTATTTAATTGTTATATAAGCCCGAACCACCATACAAATGAATTTATTTCCATGAGTATGGTATATCACCATTCGCAGAATCAATTGCTGCTGATGGAATCTAGACCAGACCCCGATTGGCGTCGTAAAAGCTCAAATTGCTGTCCCGTACCCACCGCCCTGGCCTTCGCCACAGTTTTTGTGTGTGTGTTGTCGTTGTGTGGCCTTTTTTTTAGCTGTGCTGTCGATTAGATTAGAATACTTTTGAAGTTCAAGTGTCTATGAATGGCTGAGGGACGTAACGTACCGAGAACTCTGCTACCATCGGTTTTAGTAATGAAAAGAGTTGAAGGGCTGGGGCTGGAGATTTCCGGTTGCCACAGCCGCAGGATGAGAGTAGCACGCGGGTGTGGGTGTGTCAAGATAAACAAGCAGAATCAACATCTGCCACCAAATGGTGCAATATCGCAGACAGAACTGTCAAGCAAGCAAACCAGCAACCAGAAATCCGTCTGACGCCTTTTTTTTTGCTTTCCTTGCAGTTTCTCAACAGAGACTTAATCCGGAATGACGTCGACGATGTCGAAGAGTCCGCGCCCTCTGAAAATCACAATCGTGGGCGATGGCATGGTTGGTAAAACCTGCATGCTGATAACCTACACACAAAACGAATTTCCCGAAGAGTACATACCGACAGTGTTCGACAATCATGCCTGCAACATCGCTGTGGATGATCGGGAGTACAACCTAACGCTCTGGGACACGGCTGGGCAGGAGGACTACGAAAGACTTCGACCATTGAGCTATCCAAATGTGAGTGTTCATCGATGTTATGCAATTAAGCGGGAACTAATCAATTTCGTTACACAGACGAACTGCTTCCTGTTGTGCTATTCGATCAGCAGTCGCACCTCTTTCGAGAACATCAAGAGCAAGTGGTGGCCAGAGATTCGTCACTTCTCAAACAACGTGCCAGTGGTGCTGGTGGGCACTAAGCTGGACTTGCGCATACCCAACTCCGAGAAGTTTGTCACCACACAGGAGGGTAAGAGATTGCGCAAGGAGATTCACGCATCCAATCTGGTCGAGTGCTCTGCCAAAAAGAAACAGAACTTGCAGCAGGTGTTCGAGGAGGCTGTCCGCGCCGTCGACAAGAAGCCAAAATCTTCACCCAAGCCATCCTGCACATTACTGTGAACTACATACATATACGTATATGTACATAAGTGTATGCCTAATGTTTAATATTGTTATTATACGTAATGTATTATGTAACTCATTTGTCTGACTCCTTGTGCTTTGTTTTCCAAACTGTGTGTAGAAAATGTACCGTTAAGTTCTTCATATTATTTAAGTGCTGTTTGTGTCTAAACAATCAATTTTCCGTGCGACCAAAGTGCATTTCTGTGTAAGAAAAAATATAAAATCGAACCAACAAAAATATATATACTATATAATATAAATAATTGAATTTAAATGCATATGAGTTGCGGACCAAATCGTGTTATTGTACATATTCAATAAAAACCTAGTCATTAAATCCAGCTATTGAGTTGAAGTTTTTTAAAAATCCCGCTGTATCAGCAACTACATTTATCGAATTCGATAATTTTCTGAACGAGCAGCGTTGCCACTAGTTCTCTGGACAAAGAGAGAGGAGAGAGTATCTTACTCTCTCTGCTGACCTAATCCTCTCTCCGCTGACCTAATCCTCTCTTTGGCATGTGGCCGCAAGGTATGGCAAGCAGGTAAAAAAGGATGAACTTTTCAAAGCTCCCACCTTTTTCGCACCTGTTGAAAGATCCCTAATAGTGCATGGCAGGAGAGAATTACCCTGACCGTTTAGACACAGGAGAGGATTTCGCTGGAAAATTTCCATCACGGTGGATGAAAACCTTAGTTTTTGGTAAAAATTTAGCACCATGAAAGCTATGTTAAGGGAATTTGAAAGCTCTTTTCCTTTGCGAAGGGAGTTTTAACAACTAATGAGAACAACTAAATATATATAATAAAATATATTCATTTATGACCATAGAAAATGTATATTTTTTAGTATTAACTTTTTCATTTATTTTTTAATTAAGAATTAACTTCTTTGTATGGAGTATGGAAGAGTATTGAATATAAATTAAATACCAATACTGGAGAGGAAGGAAAGATGAAATGGTGGGAAGAATCTGTCAGAGTCCCAGTTCGGGTGTCTCAGGACAAATATTAAACATTGTTTTTGAACGGATTCAACAAGAATGTGTTGCTCCTTGTATGGAGGACTTCACCCCCAAGATCAATACTCCAATATCGGGCGGATATATCGGAGTTTAGCCCCAATTATGTGGTAGAAGATAAAAGAACTGCACCGCAAACCATTCCAAGCTTATTCCAAGGTAATATCAAATATCACATAACAACCGAGGAAAATATTTTAAGATTCACTGCTTTAAAGGTAGGGTTGTCAAACTTTTAAAAAATATCATATCAGTGATATATTTTGCTTGGAAAAAATATCAATTCAATTCCATAAAAATCGGAAATAAATAGCTGACATGAAGAAAACGGAGCCCGCTCGTATGTTTTTAACATCTTTAATCCTTATTCCACTTTTCTGTGTTTTTAATATGACTTATTCAACTATTCTTCGCTTTACATACATAATTATTTTGAGTCCGTGTTTATGGACGAAAACCCTCCAGATCATATTTATATTTCGCACATCCACACCTCATAAAAACCACCACTGCTGCATAAATTTCACTTTCCTATTTTTCTACAAAACTCTGAGAAAAAAATACATACAGTCATACAGTCAACACACTAACACACACATGCGGTGTCCGTATCGAGAAAAGTCGAGAAAACCCCAGTTTCGTGAGCTAAACGAGTAGGGACGTGTGAGATTTATATACTCTTGTTTCAGTGTGATATCACAGCAATCTTGGAGCCAAATTCGGTGACTCTAGCTCTTATAGTCTCTGAGCCAGACTGCCAGACATGGACATATCCACTCGGCTATTGATGCTGATCAATACTTCTAACAACAGATTATATATTCTTTATGGGGTCGGAAACATTTCCTTCTGTGCGTTACATACATCCACTTTTGTGAAAAAATACAATATACCCTGTATATTTATTTAGATCCTGTGGTTAGTTACCAAATTTGAAATATCAAAAACATAACATATTGATATTTTGGGAAAAAAAATCACGATATAAATATATTTTTATTTTAAAAATATCGATATATTAATATTTTGATATATATTTGATTTTTTTATTTTAAAAATATCGGTTTATTGATATTTTGATATATATTTGACAACCCTAAAACGGTCACACTACTAAAATCCAGATGATGTGGAATAAATAATTTTAAATTTTAAATGTAAGCAAATGAAATGGACATAACCCAGCACTTTAAGGCGAGTGTCATGACGGTGCGCCTGCAGCGAAAGACTGAGCTGGCTTCGTCCGGACGAGGCAAGGCCACAGCACGAGCTGCAGTGGCAGGGCCATCGAAAGCTACAGGACCCCGAGATGACTTTGCGATTGAGGCCAAGAAGGTGTGCAACAAGATCACAGATCTGCGCAATCTACTCATAGAGAATCGCACAGCCTATATGAAGATTGGGCAGCACCTGAAGAGTGCGGCGCACATGACAGATGCCCAACGAAACTTAATTGATCGCGAATCGGAAAAATTCGTTGCCGTCTACACGCAGCTGCTGGCGAAGATGCGTAGCGAATGGAAGAGTGTCAAACGGAAGCCACAGGAGCGACAGCATATCGAGGCGGTGCTTGACTTGTTGGTCAGCTATCTTCACAGCGTGGAGCAGATTTATTTGGATCAAAAGAAGTACCGTGTCCAACATGAACTAGAGACATACAGACTGCTCAAGCTGGCGGCAGATAAAAAGAAAATACCCGTACGTCCGGGTGGTGGTCAAAGTGCTAAGATCGGAAAACGCCTGCTGAGCAATGGCAGCAGCCCCCAAAGCGGGAAGGCGTCACCGTCAGACGATGGCGCTCTTCAGGACTCCGCCGACAACGATTGGAGCAACGATGGCTGGGCCGAATGGGATGACGATGAAGACGAGGATGTGACTGAGACTGATGCACAGCTGGAGAGCAGTGCTCCTCAGTCGGAGCGGCACAAGGCGCGAACACGTAAGCGCAGCAAAGGCAAGCCGGCTGCCCCAAATGACTCCTCGGCCAAGGTGGCAGTTGATGAGGATATTAACAAGTCTGCACAGGAGCTGGTCGATGATGAGGATCCTCTGAGCGCAGAGGATGTACAGCTGTTTGAGGCGGAGAATGTTCATATGTATAATTTCCTACAAGGCCTCTCCGAGGAGGTAGAGCAGATTGGCAAGAATGTTGTGGACATTGCCCAGCTGCAGGATATTTTCACCGAAAAAGTAAGCCAATCCCATCCACTTTACCATGTTTATTCGTTACTTGACTTATGCTTGATTCCATTACAGGTCGCAATGCAGCAGCACAACATCGAACGGATTGCCAGTGCCGTTGTGGGCAGTACGGAGAACGTTAAAGATGCCAACGAGCAGATCCGCCAGGCAACCCAACGAAATGCTTCCGTTCGTGTCTATTTCTTGTTCTTTTTGATTGTCATGTCGTTCTCCTTGCTGTTCCTGGACTGGTACTACGACTAGCAAAGCAATAAAATACGTACTAATCGACATCATTTTGTTTATCATTTGTTTATTTTAAATTTAGTTTATAAATAATATGAGAAACGAGAGGGTGTTTCAACTGTTTGGTTTCTTCAAAGAAACAAATTGGAAATAAACATAAATTTGAGCTGTATTCGAACTCTTAGGCTAAGGGTACCCACGCTTAAGTGGGGTAGGTGGCGGGGGTTGTTTCTTGTATGTTAATTTATGCCTAGGATCCTTATTGTAATTTGTTCGTTTAATTAGTGGCTCGTCTAAATCATTGAATACGTGTTTCTACTTCTTGGAAACATAAACTCGCACCTCGACTGGACTGATATTCATTGCATGAACGTCTAAGATGTCTAATTACTAACTAACTTATCTTATCAGTTATCTCTATATGCATGTGTGACCTGTCGAATTTGTTTTAGGGAGTGTTGTGTTTTTGTTTGTATGTGGAAGTGCATTCATGGTCTAGTCTCTAATTTGTTTAGGTGCAATTATCGATTGCATTCGATGCAGTCTGCTGCTTGGTTGCTTTTGGTTCTTTCCGATAAGTGAAGTGGAAGATATTCGCTAGAGCCACTAAAAGTGGCAATAGTAGTAGGAAGGCGCCGCTGCAACTTGGCATGGTGCTTGGTAATTGTAATAAACGCAATTGTTGTAAACTAAATAATAATTCGTCCACGTGGGTTATGGCGTTGCGGCAATCGAGTCTAGGCTAGGCAGGCTACGCCCAACCAAAGCGCTGCTCTCCGCCGAATTGGAGATTTGACAGCATTCATCTGGATTACTATTGATATTGCTCGGGGTAAGCGGTGTCTCCTCCATGCTGGGTGTGGCTGGATTCTCGCCGGACTTGTCATTGTGGATGCTGCCGTTGCTGGTGGTGCTGCAGTTGGACGATGACTTCAGTTGGGTCTCCTCGTTCAGAAACACGCCCAGCGGCAGATGAGAGTTCATGTGAGCTAGTGATTGGAAGCATAGCAAAGCTCAATTAGTTCTCTGTCTAATTCGTAGAAAATTCTCTTATATTAATAAAGTTGCGTCTTAGGTCTAGGCCATGCAGGAAGGCAGTAAAGCATTATGGGTGCTACTTCTAATAATTTCTACAACTAGAACTACCAATAAGGCAGTGTGGGGTGTTGAGACTTTACCGCGAAAACCCATAAAATGCAAGAAGGAGCGTGGACAGAACTCGCATTTGTAAAACAATTCGCCTTTGTGGGTGCGTCGGTGCTTGCGCAAATCTCTGATATACTCAAATGACAAATCGCACTCGTCGCACTGGTAAGCAAGTTCTGGAATAGACAATTTATTGGTCGCCTTTGTGTATCTAGTTTATGGACATCAAGTGGGAACACTCTATGGATGATTACATTTCATCACTGCAAAGGATGAGAAACACGAACAACGGACACATTTGTGGTGTGAAATTTGTTATTTAAAGTGCGTTTTGGTGTGCGAAAAACTCACACTGAGAGACTTAAACATCTATTGACATTTTGGTTTTTATATCAATATGGGCTGTGCTTGTGTTGGTTTCATAACAAACTCAGAACACTTGGAAACCCACTAGAGATCGGATTTTGTACGCAGTTTAGGTGCATTAAATTGCTGGAAAGCTGCTGCTAGGTTGTGGGTTAGTTCACGGCAAGCAATAAAAATAGAGATTTCGGGTCGGGATTTGCTTTACCTTTGGAGCATGCGTGGACCACGGTGGAAAAACTGTTGCAACGATAACGTTTTGGTTGTTATTAGTAAGGGTTACGTTACGGGTTACACACAGAACATAAGATTAGTTAAAACTAGGACTAGGACTACAACTACAAGCTACTAGCTGCCGCTCCCAAATTGAATTCCCACTCCCTTAGTAGGCCACCGCATCCGCATGCGTGCGAGCACCCAAAAACTTACCACCGTGAAACTTAACGTGCGTCTTTAGGGCGCTCTCCGTACCAAATTGCTTGCCACACTCGTCGCAGGTGTGTGGCTTGGACAGCAGGTGGACGGTGATCTTGTGCAGCGTTAGCTGTGAGGGTCGCGGGAAACGCACGTGGCACAGATTGCACTCATACGGCCTGCCCTCCACATCGTGCGATTCCATGTGCCGATGCAGGGCCGTGCGCATCCGATAGCCCCTCTTGCAAATGGTGCACACGAAGGGCATCGAGGTCTGGGCTCCATGGGCCAGTTGGTGGTGCTTACGCAGGGCAATGTCGTTGGTGAATCGCTCCTCGCAGTACAGACACTGGTGGCTGGCCCGCAATTCGCTGACCTGCACAGACGCGGAGGCGGATCCGAGTGTGTTTGGCACCGAGTCTATCGTGGAAGAGGACGGCGACGACGATGGCGAGGGTGAGGGCGATGCCACGGGCGTGGCCAGCTGCAGCGTCTGATTAAAGATCCCCGATTGCGGGCTCACGATGACGCCTCGCTTCCGGAACTGCCGCAGCGTCGTAGTGGAGTCCGGCTCGGATTGCTCTGGCGAGGGCAGGGTTATGTGCTGATGTGTGCTCATCATGGGCTGCGGAGACGGCACCGACATGATCGTCGAGGGCGGCGTTAGCACCGTTGGTGGTGCCTGTAGATTAGTCTGCAGCTCCTCGTACTGCCCACTGCCATGACTATGGCCAGAAGTGCCTGAAAGAAAGGGTAATTTAATTTTGGATCCTTTACAAATTGCGTTTTCCACTTACAGTCCTCGCAGTCCGGACAGCAGAGAATGCGTTGCCTGCGTGGTCCAGGTTGCTTTGCTATTAGTGGGTAAATGAAGGATAATTAGCGGGGAGTCTTCGTGGGAATGGCTTGGAACTCACCTGACGGATGTGTTTGCTGCTGCTGCTGCTGCTCGTTGCTGATCTGCAATTGTACCTCCTCCACTCGCACACCTCCTCCTCCCTTTTCGCTGCCTCCCGTGTTGCTGGTCACCTGCATGTGGAAGCGCTGAATGTGCAGGTCGAGGGCTCGCTGGGCGGGAAACACCTGCGAGCACTGCCCGCACTGATACTGCTGCACCACATGATGGTTGAGGATGTGCTGCGATCGCTTGCTGCGCGCCGCAAAGGCCAGCGGACAGTGCGGACAGTTGAATGGCGCAACTGCCGGATGCAGCTCGATGATGTGGCGACTGTACTCGAGACTGTTGGAGAATCTCGGTCCGTTCTGGCAGAAACGGCACTTGAGCGACACCGCTCGAGCCTTTGGCGTGGTGGCGGGCATTGGAGAGGCAGCCGCTGCTGCTGCCGCCACTCTCTGCATTCCTAATACTGAATGATTTTGTACTTGATGCTGCTGATGCTGCTGCTGCTGATGTTGCTGTTGCTGCTGCAGATGGTGCAGCTCGTTGCTGATGGGCGCACCGTAAAAATGCATCGGCGCCTGCTGGGGATTACTGGACGAGGCCACTGGCTGCTGTACCTCCGGCTGTTGGATCAATATCATGATGGGTTGCTGATGCTGCTGCTGTTGCTGCAACTGTTGTTGCTGCTGCTGCTGCTGCTGCTGTTGGTGATGGTTGGCCTGCTCCAGTATGTAGTTCTCATTGGGATCTAGCATCGTGTAGGTGGTCTCCAGTGGTGCGCCCTGCTGCTGGTGCTGGTACAGATCCCCAGCACTGATGTAATAAGTTGTTGTGGTGCCATCCAATGGTCCAATGCCGCTCTTGATGGCCTCCAGTCCACCCACTGCTGACCATTGCAAATGTGTCGTCTGCTGTTGCTGTTGCTCCTGGGGCTGATACTGCTGCCATTGCTGCTGCTGCTGCGGATCGATAGGAGCTGCAAGTTGCAGCTTGCTGGCCGACTGCTGCTGCTGGACAGAATGCTGCTGATGATGATGATAGATTTGCTCGTAGGACACGGTGGTGGTCGTCTCCTGGTGATGCACCTGCGGCACCTGCTCTAAAGCTTTCGATACTATTGGCTGACGCACCTGAAGATGCTCCAGAGGTTGTGGCTGCAACTGAACCTGTATTTGCACCGGAGACTGCTGCTGGGGCAGCTCAACAACAGGCTTTATCTCAGTTGGGATTACCTCAACCTGCGGTCCCTGCACTGTCTGCACTGCCTGTTGAGGCTGCGGCTGCGGCTGCAGCTCGTTGAGAAACTGCGTCAGCTCCAAGTGCAAACTCTGCTCGGGCTCTGGCGTGGTCTCGATGTTCTCAAAGCAGGGAATATCATTCTGGAAGCCAATCAGTTCGTTGCTAAAGTTGCTGTTGTCAAAGAGATTTGGGTTGGGTTTCTCCTGTGACTCTGTGAGTTCTGGCTTGATGTCGCCGCATGGCTCCTGGTCCTGCTCCTGTTCGGGCTCGCTGAGGGAGGCATAGTCGGCGGGTGTGAGGAACTCATCGATGTGCGGACAGGTCGGTGTGTATATGTGCTGGTCCTGCATCTCGTTGAGGATGCCATTCAGTGTCGTCTCCACATCGTTCATCTCCACCTCGAGCTGCTGCTTGGCCTCCAGATCGTTGAGGGCCAGCGGCAGTGGCTCGGCTCTGGGTGTGGCCGGCGGCGATGAGGCGGGTGTGGTGGCCCCAAGCTGCTCGAGACCCTTCTCGCAATGTTTCTCGAATTCGGCCAGAAAGTCCATGGGCGTGGGTCCAGTCCTGACCACTTGAATCTCATCCGTGGATGCCGAGGTGTCGTTGTCTTCTTCGTCCCCATCTGGTGGTGTCGGTGGGGACTCTGCCACGCGTATTAGTGGCTCTGCAGCTGTGCCCCCATCGGGTGGCCCAGTTGCTTTTGCTTCAATTTCGATTGTTTGGAGTGCCACAGCAGAATTGAAGCTATCTGCTGTAGCACTCTGGCAAAAATGCTCATCGTTTGCATTGTTGTTGACATCGTCGGGATTGCCCGGAAGCTGCTGCTTCTTCTGCTGATCCTCCTCCTCCTCCTGCTCCTGCTCCTGCTCCTCAGCATTGTCCACGCACAATCTGCGCTGCAAATCGTCATTGAGTGCCTCGAGCGGTATGCTCACAATGATCTCTGTCTGATCTGACTCTGCTTCGCCTTCCAGCGACAGCTGCTCCGCCTTGCTGGTTGTAGTTGTGTCTGTGGCCTCCGTGGACGAGGTCAGTTCCTTCGACTGTAGCTCCATCGTAGACAGATCAAAAGAGGTTGCTCCATTCAATTTTTGTTCTTCTTCCATGCTTAGCTTGAACGGCGACGCCATGCTCTCACCGCTCTCACCGGAAGAATCACTTGATATTTTATCTGTCCTTGATGGCAGCTCCTTGGCCGCTTCTTCCTTGCCATTTGTTTCGTTTACTTCTTCGATCTCTACGGTTGATTCTCCTGCATCTGAAGTACTGATGTTGCTTTCCTCATCACTGGAGACAGACTTTGCCGCTGGACACAGCGAATCGTTTTCGTACTGCTCTTCCTTTGTATTTTGGCAGCAGATTTTCTCTTCAGACTTTGTATTCTCCTCCACGCTGGCTCCAATCTGCTGCAGAAGCTCCTTTATGGTGGGTTTCTTGCTCAGTGATCGCCGCTGCCGCTTGATTGCCATGTAAACAGGCGAACTGCGCGGACGACGGCCACGTCGCTGTGCTGGGTTCGCTTTGGGCGCTCGTCTAGGGAACTTGAGCTCCGATGGCGCTGAGGTGGAGGAGGGATTGCTGTCGCTCTCGAATCCGCAGAGTGGATCCACCGACAGGTCGCTCAGATTTTCTGTGGCCGCCTCACTGCTGTTACTCCATTGGCCCTCCACCTCCGAGGAGGGGGCCGGCGAGTAGCTGGACCACGACTCGGACAGCTGTTTCCTGGCCGCCTTTGTCTTCCAGGGCATGCTGCTGCGATCAGCGGGGACAGGCGGTTCTTCCTCTGCATTCTCAGCCGATGCTGTGGTTCCCGCGGACTTTGTTCGCATTCTGCGCAATCTCATCTGCAGGCGACGCCCCTCGGGCAGTGGCAGAACCTCCTCCGTGACGGACTCCTCCGTCTTCACAATTTTTGGCAGGGAAGACAAAGGGGACGGAGCTTTGCCCTCAGATTCAGAGATAATGCGACGTTTTCGGTCCATCTGTGATTCTGGCAAATTCATGTAGTCCGATGCATTCGCATTCTTAACGATATCCGTGTCCTTGTCTGCTTGTGGTCTGCTCTGCAGTTCCTGTCTTTGTTGCTGCTTCTGTTTTCGCTTGGCCTGTCTGGCTGCCTGTCGGTCGGATATTTCCTGGGCATAGTCCTGCAAGCGCTGCTGCATCCGCACGCATTTCCTTCGAAATTTGGCCACCATCAGGAACTGGGCCATGCACTGGCGGCAAATCTCCTGCGGAAGCCCATCGTCGCGGCTGACCTGTGTGCGAAATGAGTAAATAATTCATTAAATATTATAGCTTTTAGATGTTTCAATTATTTTACGCAAAGACTGCAAAAAAGAGACTCCCTTCATTTTCAAGTATTTTTCAAAAGAGAATCATCCCCTTGAGAGCAAACATAGAAATAAATACATGTCGTGTGCATGACTATAAACATTAATACTCGAATCAAAACTGAGATAGAGATCGTTTTGTTTGTTTTTTATTTCTTACAGCTCCAAAAAACTTCCAGTAACCCCTTGGCACACGTGGAGTATCAGTTTTATCAGTTTTCATGTGCGCTAAACCCACTACTTAGTGCACATAAAGATAGACACAAGTAGTTAATGACTAATAAGGTGAATGGAGGCAATCAAATGCTTAGGCTTTAACCCACAATCAGGGCTGCCCTCTGCCGTTAGCAATTTCCTTTCTATAGCTTTTGCTTCCCTTTCGTTGAAATTAATTAACTGGCACTAAAAATGTTGAACATTTTTCCTATTAATAACAGTAGTAAGTAACAAGTTAACGAGCGAATGCGAATGGGTTATGGTCAGTTGGTCAGTCAAAAACAAAAAAAAAAACAAAAACCCCCAATGAAGGACGACTGCTGGTGTCTAGTGGCAGGTGGCACAGCGTAGGCTGCTGCCCCCTTGGAATGGCAACAAACTTTGGCCGTGCTGGCGGAGCCGTCGGCACCTTCGTTTTCCGTTGTGTTGTGATTTGGAGCAAATAATTTGCTTTGTTTTCCAAATGAGCGACTTCATTAAAGAGAGGGAGGCATGCCACAAAAACAGATAAACCAGACACGAACAAGATACAGATACAGAAACAGCAACCTAACCTACTCGTACATACGGGTTGTGTTGTATTTTTTGAAGAAAAACACTGAATACCTGACGTGGTCGAATGATTTCAATTAAAATTTCAAATGCCTGAGGATCCTGATTGATATTTTGTTGAATATTTATATGGCCTTCTCGTGTCTTTTTGTTTTGTTTGGTCTTGAGGGCGTTGGTATAAACAAGTCTACAGCTATCAATTGTTTCAGATTGTATTTGAATTTTGGATTGTGGGAGATCAGTAAAGCCCGCAACGGATGTGCTGGCTATGCCTCTGGAATGTGCTGGTCAACACTGAATCCACACACAATCCACACGCGATCCAACGCAATAAACAGTTTTGGTACAAGGGCCAAGCAGTTCATTGCACTAGCAAGCAGTAGCTGTATCTCTGCCTATTCAAATAAGCAGTTTAAAAAATGTTTACAATAAACGATCAGCTGTAGAAGCATGACAAGTAATCCTGATACTCATAAGTGAGAGTAAAACTACTTATTGTATTTATTTATTTTTAGTGGAAATTAAATAAGTCAAATACCAAGTTCAAGATCTATTTCGTAAATAGACAAACAAATTGCTTAGGTAAGGTGAAAGGGAAGCAAACAAAACGAATGACAATAAGAAAAGAAAAGCAAACCAAAAAGAAAAGGTGCAGAATGCTGATACAATTTTCGAGACGCAACAAATAACACAAAATGAAAATAAAGAAATAAAAGAGGAGCAAGACAAAACTGGCAACGTGATGTGGTTGGTGATCATGGGTGGATATACTTAGGCTATGGTAATGCAAAAACAGTTCCGAAAATGACATAAAGTCTTCCACCAGCACCGCCCCCACCTCTGCCAGCGTAAGAGACCAGACCCCCAGAAATTTATGCATAGCTCGGCGAAAGATCGACATGGAGCGGGACGGAAATTTGAACGATTTCGAATGCACAAGCTGCCGACAATGCATAACTGATGACAAAAAAAAAACCAATATCAAAAAAAGATCGGAGCCTCGAGCCTCGGTCTGGCAATGAGAGAGGAGAGGTGGAGACCCCATCCCGCTACCCCCAACCCAACACCGAACCCACCGGATCGGCGAAACGGACCACAGCCGACTGCCGTCAGAGACGTTGTCAAGTGTAAATGACAATTGAAGTAAATGCCGTCCGGTTGCGTTGCGTCCATCTCGTTCGTCTTGTCCGTTCATCTGTCCGCGAGTTGTGAGACTCGCGGGGTGTGTGGTGTCTGGTGGGGTGTGGGGTGCATGTGTGTAACTGTGTTCGAGAGGACCAGGCGAATAAAAATAGACGCAAATGCGCTGAATACACTGAAATAAATAAATAAATAAATAAACTTGCATCGAGTTGTCGTATCTAATAAAAATAACAATCGAGCGAGCGAGCGAGCCACCTAGCGCGCACCCAGAGACGCACCCAAAGGCCGGCCACACACCAAGTAACGGAAGAAAAGCAAGGGAAAGCGGGGCGGTGGCGGAAAAGCCCACAATCGATCCAACGAGAATCTGCACCCAATAATAAGAAAGACCGAGAACTAGAATCCCCGATAGAAAGATACAACTGATTTTTAGTGTCAACAACGAACGAGTACGCCGTGCACAAATCACACAAGTTGATTGATTATCACCAATAAAACATCTTAATTAGCGGCCTTTTTACGTGGATGCGATCTCATCCCGAAACGTAATACATTTCTCAATTAGTCATACAAAAATACCCAGAAAAATATACACAAATATTTATTGTAAATACCTCGATGGAAAAAAATGGCCAAAATACCCAATAGCCGTCGGATATTTGTACACGTTTTTGCGATTGCAAACTATAATAAATACAGATAAATATGAATTTTATACAAATTAATATATAATAAAACGAGACAAATAGGAAATAAGCAATTTCCATGTCAGATTTATCGCGCAGAAAAGTAATTCATCAATCAATGAGAATAATTCCTTACTCGAGTTACTGATCAAAATACAAAATTGAATAATCGTACGATCCGGATATGTACATATGTACATGTGAAACGTTTATTTGTTCTACCCTTAACAAAAAGAAATATACGAAATCAATCAGTGCCATTACTAAGCATATTTTGGGGCTGCAAAGTGCTTAAACGTAATATGGCACAACGGTTTTTCCCAGTTTATGCAACACGAGAAGTAAATTTAGTTCGTCGAAGCTCTCTTATCTTTAAACATTAATAATATTATCGTAAAATCAATACCAGATAACTGTTATTAATGAAAATATACTAGATAGTTCTATATATTTATAGATTCATTATTATTATTCGGTCTTTGCTTAGATGTGCTTTTAATGTACATTCTTTGAAGCACACTTTTGCCCTAGTCGGGACTATTGGGCTGTGCTGTTCCTAAATGGTTCTTAAATTGTTTGAAAATTGTTGGCAAAGGCAAAGGCAAAGGCAAAGGCACTGAGTCTCAAACGCTGAGATAAATGCAGACAGACAGACGGATACATTCTGCTGTCATAATCTATTTTCAGACGGATACGGAGCGCCGCAAAGTAAATGACACAATCGCCGATTCTGTTTTTGTCTTGCGAAATTGCAGAAATCTAAAGCGGATAAATAACCTAGAAAAAACAGAGCCACAATTGAATGATTAGTTCAAGATAAATGCAATGAATGCCTGCCTCTCGCCCGGGCATCCCGCACCACACAAGCAATAATCATTCCGATCCATTGGCAGCATGCCCTCAGACTCAATTTGTCTTGGATTTGGAATGGATTGGATTTGGATTGTGCTGGCGCTGTCGATGGTGTTGGGGTCTCCATTAGTTTCCCTCTCCACTCACTTTTCTGGGGAAGACAATTGAACAAGTTGTTTGCCCTTTCGCTCGCTTCCTAGTTTCTCACAAACGATAGAAAGCAAGCTGCAAAAGAGGAAGGAGTAAAAGTCAAAGTCGGAGTCGGAGTCGGAGGCGGCAAATGGGAGGGAAAACTTCAAACACGCCATACAAATTGTGTTAATTTGCACTCAATGTGCAACAAATTACAGCACTCGAAAAACTCAACACCAACTCAACAGAAAAGGAAATTAAAACCAACACTAGAAAGAAAGCCAGCCAGAAAGGAGCGAAACTTTTGATACCGCTTATAGAATTCTTTCCAATGTTATGGTATAAAACTATTAAGATGATTTTGGTACTTTTTGGACCTTTTTTGCAAATTTACCTTTTTGGATTGTTTTTTGTGTTTGTGTCACATTACTTTACAATTAAAGGCAATGAAATTCTCACAATCCATGGATTTCTGCCAACAAAATGTATTACATTCTACCGATATGTTCCGAAAGCTTTTCCATCTGCGTGCCGACACGAATATGTACACTTTCCCTTGTCTGTGCTACAACAAGCGTATGTTTAGCCTATAGCCGTATATCGTCTCTAGAGGGGTTATAAAAACTGAATGGCAAAAGAAATGGAAATTGAAACAAAAGCAAATTCAAAAGCTGTAAAAATGTTTCTTTTTTTTTTTGTATTTTGTGTGTTTGCAGCGGCTAGATTGCACTTCAAATTGATGACGGTACAGGGGGAAGAAGAAATAAAATTAATAATAACTGTAAGCTGTTGCAAAGAGAGCCAAAGCCATAAATAAAGACGGAGCGAGTGGAATGACCATAGACAGAGCACAGAGCCGGGAAAAGGAGCAAGAGTGAGAGAGATAATAAATCGCTTGTATGCAAACATAAATTTACATTTTTGATGATAATTCTTCCCACCCGTGGAGTCAGGGGATAGTCCACAACGCCTCCCCGTCCAGAGCTTCGCAAATTAAAATCAAAAGAAAAGTCAACAGATGAGCGAGAGAGAGAGAGAGTTGGCCACTCCATGGTCCATTCAGCTTGCAGTAGCCAGCTGCAGCCACTCAATGGAAAAGGTTTAAGAGTGTTTGACAATGGCAATGTTTAACTAATTAAGAGATGAGATGAGAGCACAGCCAGAGGACTTCATCTGGAACAGTTTTCGACTCTAATGGAGCCATAAAAAAAACCACAACGGACAGCTGCAGGAACAACGAAAATTTGTAATCAAATTGTACCGAACATTGTACCCCCCAAGGAGAGAGCCAGGGTACCAGTGAGGAGTAAGTGTGGGAGGACGAGACCCAAAACGGGCACTTAA